ACTCATCGCACGCGACTTGAGACAATTTTAATATGGTGTAGGATGCTTTTTGCGAGTACAACAGCCCTACCGTATTCAGATGGTTGTTGGAGCAAGGGATCTGCTCTTGTTCACAGTGTGTTTTTCAGAGTGACAATAGAATGGATCTCTTCGGCAATGAACAGCCCTGAGACAATAGAGCTCGCGAAGGCTGCAGCTATCAAGGGCCATGCTCACCGCGACCCACGATAGAATCGCCAAACACCCACTAGTACAGAGACCTACACTATTACTCCTTTTATAGAAAACAACTCACCTTGCTGATCTTGTATGCGAAGAGAACCGAGCTCGCCAGAACCGTCTTCATTCCCCTTTATAGACGCCCAGAAACTAGAAATATTCACAATAGCAGCACGGTCAATTCCCCAATGGTCTCCTTCACCGTGAGAGGACGCTTTACGGAGCAACGGCAAAAAAGTCTGCAATAACAAGAAAAGAAATTCTAGGAACTCTTCAATTTATCTTTAGATGAAAACACCTGAGCAGACCAATCACAAGAAAAATCACTGAAAATGAAAACAAACCTGACTGACGATGGCGGTTCCTAGAACATTGGTATTAACACACTTCATTAAGGTATCCCGACAGATGGCTCCATTTGTAAAATAAGGCGGCAAGATGGCCGCATTGTTCAACAGCACATTTAGCCCGCTCTCACCAACTACGGCCTCTACCTTAAATACTTTTCGGACCTTCCATAAGAAAAACTTGAAAAATGAAAACTTATTACCGTTCCAATGAGCTCCTCTCACCGTTTGAAGAGAAAACTAACCTGCTTGTATGCGTCTTTGATGGACTGATCACAATCGATATCAATTTTGACGATACTCAGTCGCTTATCGGTAATTGCATTCAGCTCCTGAACAAAGGTCTTGGTGCATTCCTCATGTTTCCGATAAACCTAGCAAACTTTGAATTTCTCTGCAAGGGGGCCTTTCCGGTCATGGAGCGCTTTTCGTGTGGGAGCAAAGCTGTGGACCGCGCAAATGAGGCCTCCTTTTCCTGCAATCCCCTAGGAATGTCAAGGAAGAACAGAAAGTTGATAGTTTGAATACCCATGGTGACAGAATCTTTCAGTCTGTAATCTTTTGTGGTCGTGTCTTTGCCCGCACGAAAACGTGTCCAAAAAGGAAAGGCAGTGCCATTGGTGGAAATTGTGCGAAATTCGAATCCTCCCATAAGTTCCTTCTCTTTGTGACCCATTGGAGAGGAACTTTGCCAAATTCGAATCCACCCAGAATTTCGTCTCTCTAACGACTCCCTATCTCTCATCCCATCAACCGTCTTCCTAAATTTTTCAATCTCCCTTTTTAAGTTGTAAGTTTAAGTTTTTCAACTTTTTCGGAGATTTTTTCAAACTGGGCCGGATAAACAGCTCACTTAAAACAAAACAACCGGAAGAATTTTTTCCAAGATGGATACGACTCCCCATCCCTCCACCTGCAGCGACCAAATACAACACTCTCAATGGGAATCCCCAAAGTTTGCCGTGCCCGATCTAAAAACATCCGGATTTTCGTCAATGAAACAAATGCTTAACAAAAAAAAAACATTCCAGGAAATCTTGAGAAAAACCTACCTCAGCATTATCTGGATTCCTTGCGCCAGCAATCACATGCTTCACGGCCGGAACCTTCAAAAATTCACGAACCAATCCTAATCCAATGCCTCTATTAGCCCCAGTAATGAAGACAGATGCAGGATACACCATCTAAAGAGAAACACAGGACCTTATTGGACACAGCTGCTCCAAAAAAAGGGATATCGTGCGCACGTGAAAATCGTAAGCTATCAGTATCATCATCTTGTGTTTCAGCATTAAACACATCTACTTCCAGACAGCTGGTCTACTGGAAACGCTCTTGTCCTCTTTATAATTGCCAAATCTCACTAGGAAATCACAGAGGGATAACACCCAAACAAACTTGTGAATCGCTCGACTGAATATATTTATTGATCAGATGTGTACAACAATTGCGCGCGAGTGGACATATTTCTTCCTCGAGATACTGAGACTCCATGGCAGAGGGTCAACTCCAAAATGACAGCTTCTGTCAAGTTTTGTATCTGTCGGCTGCAAACCCTTTTTTGAAGTCTAGACAAGAAAAGCTTACAATTTCGCCTCAAGGGGAAAGAATTATGTAAGGGAAACACAGTAGTGAATATGAGATACTCATCAACAACGAAACAACGACGTGATACAGCAAGCGAGGTGACACCAAAACAAACTAGGTATTTAATTTAATTTCGAATATCATAACTGATACGTTATGCACGTCCACGAAAGCTATCGCTATTCTTCAATAACGTCTCCTTTCGCACCCAAACGTTGCGGATCTTGACTCGGATAGTATATGCTGCTTGTACGAGCAGAACTGCCAGCGCTTTCTGTACTGGATCCTGCTTGTAGATGTAGACGTACCTACAAATGAAATTAGGGTCGGAAAAGAGCTAGAATTTGGGGCGCGATCCGGCTTGGTGGGGGCCCCGAGTGGTATTCAGCGAGGCCTGCACAGGGCACCTTGTTAAGTTCAGTAAATCCTCGTAACTAAAGTAGCTTAGTTACCATTTCGCGGTCTCACAAGTGTCTACAGGTCTCACCACCTTGTTACTTAACAGGAAGCTAGTGGAGACAAACGAGCAAAAATGCACACATCCCGTACCTCCCAATTCCGAACAGCGCCCGAGTTCGCGTCACGAAAGCGTGGAATAAGGTAAAAGCCAGTTCAATCGTATACCCTAGAATGAGCATCCATCATCATGCAGAACGTGTGAAGATTAGTCTAAACTTACTACAACTGAAAAAAAAATCAAAATGGCTTGAATAGTAAGACAAACCTGTCGGAGGCCGTGATGGTGGAACAACAAGCTTTGTAGGAGCTGCAAATGGTAGGAGGTAAGGGTGGAAGAGGGATGTTCAGCGGATCGAGACGTTGACGCTTAGAACTAGATGGTGCCAAATCTTCAGGAACCGGGCACGCTGAAAGGAAAAGTGTTAGTGAGTATCAAAGTGAATGTAAAGCAAAATGAGAAAATCTAAGTGTAGGAAAAAAAAGAGTAGTTACGTCTCCAACAACAACTACACGATAAGTGGATAAAACCCATGGGTGACGTAGCGTGGCCTGGTGCTGATTCCTCTCCGCCCTCCCTCCCAACCCCCTCCCCGGGACAGAGTGGGTTGCAATTTAAAAAAACCATTCAAGCACTACCTAGATTACTGTGGTAAATGATGGCTCAAATAAAGTTGATACTTTCGCTCACCTTTGCGCAACAATCCTTCCCGCTATAGGCAAGAAAGTGTTTGTCTGTTGAGCTAGTCCCGACTCTGCACAAACAAAGTGCCACCTTTGCCAAGTTCATTACCGCATACGGTTCTGCACATGAGCACATTCCAATCATAAAAGTGCAAGTTTAGGAAAAACGGGCGGGATACAGTATCCCTACGCGCAAGCTCGAGTGCCTCGGAGGACCGTGTGCCCGCATCACCACTCAGCTTTTACCTAAGCAGCACCTACTTACGCTTAGAGGGCGGAATCAGCATCCTGCAATAAGAGCACCTCACATTTGGGTAACTAACCGGCCTGCCCATTGGTTGCATTCGGGGCCGACAAATTTAATTCCACACGCAATTTCTGGGGGAACTGTATCCCTTCCGTTTCTTTCCTAAGCTTACGATCTTGTCATTCAGTTGCCCAGTGTACCACCCTATTTCTTCAAAGGAAGCTGTTCTTGAAAGGAAAAACAGGCCTCCACATTCAGGTCGCCCACTTTTTAGATTTGTACCGTAATATGTCCTTTGGATGAACGGTTTGTTAGTTCATGGAAGTAAAATCGACAATTAAGAAAAAGAATATTATGTGATAGAATTAAACCTAATAAAAAACCGTAAAGATTTAAAAGTCAAGGAAATTTCAAAAGTTAACATACGATTCGGTAATGACGGCACGGGATTAATAGTCCGTTGCTCATCGGCTTTCTGCGATTGTGGTTGTCCCCATCGAATGACTATACGACGGCCCTGAAGCAGATACATAATAAGTAAGCTCAGCGACTTTGTATAAGAGGAAAAACAACATTATTCACAAAATATCGAGAACTCTAATGGAAAACGATGACATAGGAGAAACCAAAGGATATTCAAAAAATTTGCAAAATTGAACGATCAATCCCAAGAAACAATTTAATCACTGACCTTGAGGATTAACTTATTGAACGATCTTTCAGCAGCCATTTCACATGATTCTCGAGTGGTAAATTGTATAAATGCACATGATTTCGCCTCGAGTAAGCGCAAACTTCGAATGTCTCCAAATTGATAAAAATAGTCACTGAAAATGGTTATGGTAAGTATCTTGAAGCTGCTGATCCTACATTAATCTGTAGTTGCACTAACTTCAAATCCTTTTGCGTAATCTGCCCGGCTGGTCCAAGATTACCAACGTATAACGTAGTAATGGTAGTATCTGCTGGAGGTTCCAGCGCTGGCATGGCCTATAACAACAACAACACTCAAAAATGTGAGTTGTAGACAATATGAATTGGAAAAATGTAGAATTAGCAAAGTGAGGATAACTGTTCGAAAAAAAAACAATGGTAAATGAAAATGGGGGGGGAGGGGAGTGAGGACGCATGAAGACCAGGTTGCACTCACCCTTGTCGTCTGCGTCCTGCGAATGAGGAAAGGGGAAGGAAGGGGATCACTATCTCGATGAGGGTGCAGAACAACAATTTTGTCGCATCATCGCGAGCCCTTCCCTTCCCCGTCTGTACTCCGACCCATTCGACGTGAGTATTTAAGTACAGCAATAACGCCAGCGCTGCTTTTAGTTTTCGTCAGCTTTTTGAGCGTTTGGAGTGTTCTTTTGGGCGAAAAGGAACATATATGTCGATCTAGCCTTTCGTTTTAAAAGTTTCGCTCGAAAGTTTCAAAACAGACGAAAAGTATGAACGCACCCTGAACACTAGCAACAACACAACAACTGTTATGCCTATATTGATTCAAATTTACCTTAGCTCTGTTCAGAATCTTCTCTGCTACAGGATCATTACTTCCATAATACCGATCTCTTATATTCTTGCGTAGATAACGGATCATCAGGATCTGATGGCTTTTCGTGGCTGAAATCAAAATCTCATGAACCTCCGTACCTATATAAAGGTCAGGAAGGCCGCACTACGAGAGGAAGCTGAGCGTATGAAGGAGAAAAATTGAGAAACTCACCGATACGGGCACTCCTCTCCTCTTTTACATTCACCTTTGACATAGAACGAACAAATATGAGGCGCATTTCTCTTGTAGTATGGAGCTGTCCGTGCAAGACGCTTTAACATTTCTGTACCACTCGTATCACCGATGTTAGCCAGTGCTCCTATTGGAGTAGTACCATCAGTATTCGCAAGTGCACTATAAAGATTTTGAAGAAGATCAAAATGCGAGGATCATTAATCAGCGATTTGAAGCGCTGCATCAACGAACTTGCACAGGAACCTGAGATGTACTAATTTTAAAGGCGAGGCGAGGGATATTATCAGCGATTTGAAGAGCTGCATCACGAACTTGCACAGGCAAACCTGAATGTACAAATTTTGAAACTTCTGCGCCCTAATAAGAAACTAGGCGGTGCCTTTTTCAGCCGAGCGTTCACTCTTCCTCCTTCCTTAGTTTCGAAAAGCATATTTCGACACCGTCTGACTACTCACTACGTTCCACAGAACAGGTAAAAGTCAGGGAAAATGAGCGGAAACAATTCAGTATAAAAACGTCAGCGCCATTTCAGCTCCCCCTCCCCCCTTCCTCACCCGTACCTCGTTCAATGGCAGTTTTTTCAGATAAATTTTGCAAAATAAGATTTGGGAAAGATGTTGGGAACATGGTAGGTAGGATGAGGATGAGGTAGTGGATCTCGAGAGGGGGGGGGTCGAAATTTGCAAGGAAACCTTGCCCTGTTATTCCCAACTGCCCTAACTAGTATTATGTCTTTTTGAAAAAAAAAACCAACAATCAAATGAATTTCATTAGATTACTGACCGTACTCCAGATCGAACATGCACGTTTGGCACACATTCTTCACTTTGGCACAGGTTTGACATAGTTCGGTGCTCTTGTAGCGTGCACCCTTTCCTGGTTGCCATCGGAAATTAGTGAACGGTCGCTCACATATCTTACATTCCTTGCCAAATTTGTCCTTCATCTGAATGTCACTCGTTTCAGGTCGTTAAAGAAAAATGTAAGGGTCTTGCCGGATTGCAATCTCAGTGGCTATTCGGTTTGGGAGGGGCATTTTTGCAGTATTGCTAGTTTCATTTGTTAGTTCATGTTAACTTAGACTTCTTTCCTTGGTGAGACCTGTAAACTCCTGTCAAGGGAAACGAGGCTCCTGCTATTGCAAAACTTTACAAGAATTTACAAGTCTCCACAGCAGGCATCGGTAGTTTTCGATGGAAACGAGCAGAGCTTACCAAGCCGAACTGCACTCAACTTTACTTACCATTCTCAAATATGGATTGCTTCCAAGACATGTTTGACACAATATAGGAAAATCCGCATCTTCCCAGTTCTTCCTGTTGTACTGCGTATAGGACGACTTTGACATAGACATCTTTGTCTGTCCTGGAACAAAAGCTAACTTTTTGTACAAAAACATCGATAGTTATTCATCAATTGTTTTTCCATTGAAAACAAACGAAGTACTACCGTGGTAGGAACCAAGAAAAAAACCAAACAAAACAAAAGCTTCCAAATGTTTATTGTAGTCGGCTAAAACCAGTTCCTCTAAGGAGCACCAGGATGATAAAATATCAGCTAAGCGTCAACTAATGACAGGGACCCCATAGCAACTAGGCAAACCAAAAACAACAGTAAATAAGGTAACAATATATTTAGAAACAACATGCAACAACTTCCACAGCTGCACAGATCACAGTGTTAAAATTATGGTAATAACAATTAATAAAACCTAAATTCACTGGGCAATAACTTGCATGCTAGGAAAAACACGGATAGACAGACATGGGAGAATATCACAGCTTCTTATAATGACGAAAGTGTAGATCGAAGAGTGGAAACCAACTCAGGTAAGGGTACATCCTGAAAATCACATTGAATTCCGATTTACGCATGACCATCTTACAGGGAGGTCGTTCAGGACATGGCGCGCTTTTTGAAAACGGTTTTTTGCATTGTGTAGGGGCACGTTCATGGACTACCAAACTGACGTTCATTTTTCCTAAATGGCTCTTTGAATACCAAAAAAGGAGTGAAGAAGAAATGTATGGGAAACGGGTTGGTTTTGAGCCTCTATGGGCTCCA